AATAATTAAAGAAGGAAGAATATTTGTAGTATTTATAGTATACTATTTATATCTAGTATACTTAGATCTAGTAAATAGTAGAACATTTACACTATTTATAGCATGGTATTTATATCTATAATATTGGGCTTTGTGTGGAAAACTCATACTTAACTGTAGAGCAAAATCTGTATGTGTGTGTGCACATGTGTGTTTTGAGGGGATCTAAGTTCATAATAATAAAATTCAAGTAATTGTTCGAGAAACTTCTCTTTTTAAACACTTCTATTAAGATCTGAGATCTTGTGTGCTCCAGAGAAAGGGCAAGCAATCTGCCAGGCACTGGGAGTTTGCTTGTACAGGGATGGCCACAGTTGCAAGACTGGAGGAAGGAGAACTTAGTAAAGTGAATTTTGGGGATTGAGTATGACAGTTGGGTGGAGGAGAGTCCTGGGTTCATTTCTCATGGCCAGTGAGAGGGCCAGAGAACCAGTTCTGCAGTGGGAACCTTCAGTGGAGATCAACTGCCTCTTTACCTCATTGTCATTTGATGAACAGCTCAAAAAGAAGAGGGACAGGAGGAAGATTCCAGACTGAAACCCTACACTCCTGTTAAATCATGATACTAAATCATGATGTGAGGCAGACACACCAGGTGCTTTGCTATTTATTTGGAAGGAACCTTGTCCTACTTCATTAACCTGTACTCAATAATGGATTTGAATAAAAGTTATTGAAAAATAGAAACATATCTTTGATGCTGTCAAAATGGGGCCTTTTAAGTGGGAAAAATTATAAAAATCTTATATTCAGTTCCTTAAATTACTGACAAGTAAAATCTATTTTAAAAGCTGTGAAATAGAACATCTCTATAACAAATGACTTCTTACAAAAATACATTAACATTCTATAAGTTTTGAAATAGGAATTGCCTTAGTCAACTGACTTAACAAAATACCATAGAGTGGGTACTTAAACAACACAGATTTATGTTTTTCACAGTTCTGAGGCTGGAAGTCTGAGATCAGGATCCCTGCACAGTCAAGGCCTGGTGAGAGCTTTCTTCCTGGCTTTCAGAAGGCTGCCTTCTCACTGTGTCCTCTCCTGGCAAATCTGGGAGAAGGAGCACACTCTCTGGTGTGTCTTATAAGGGGACTAATCCCATTGTGAGGGCCCCACGCTCTTCTAAACCTAAAGGCCCTATTTCCAAATACCATCACACCAGGGATTAGGGTTTCAACATATGCATTTTCAAGAAGTAATTCACTCTATAGCAGGAATGATATTCAAACACCTTTCATTTCTTTCCTCATCTTGGAACTGGAATGTTGCCTGGCCCCATTAGCCTTTGAGTACAAACAATGCCATATTAAGGCCTAGATTATAGTGACTCCAAACCTTTCCTCCCTGCTTTTGGGAGCTTGGCCCCTCTCTAAATTCAGCCCTGCTTGATCAGTGTCTTATTGATGTTCAGGACCAAGGTCACAACTGCCAGGCCCTCCTTAAAACTGCTGTCTTGCCAAGCCCCGCCCGCATCTCCCCCTGGTGCATTTCCCTGCACTTCAGAACACCTTTGGTGGTAAGTATATATGCAGGGGTGGGGTGTGGGTTGCATAATGACTCACCTCTGCAGCATATTACTCCTCAGCAATTTATGGTCTTGTATGCCCTGAGATCTCCAAGAGTTTCCCTAGTGCATTTAAAAACAGATACTTTTGTCTACAGAGAATCTTGAGAGAGTAATGTTCTGTGAAATGCACTTTGGCATTTTAAATAGCCTTTGCCCCATCTGGAAGGAATTTACTTGCAGGAGCAAAAAAACCTACAGAAAACCTGCAGAAGCAGCCTCTTAGGTGGCTCAGCCAAGCTCAGGATGAAGCAGCCCATGCTATTATATCATCATTGTAACTCATAAGCATCAGGCAAAACATTTGTGTGATATTTCACAAAATGCTTTGTTTCATTTCACCTTTCAAAAAGTAATACAAATGCTAAGGGATAATTCTTAGTTTACAGATGAGGAAACTAAAGCTCAGAGAAGAGAGGTCATAGATTCCAGTGACACAGTCAGGAAGGAGTGACAAACCCAAATAGGAGACCTGGAAACCTCTTCTCCTGCCATCTCAAATGTCAGCCTGTTGGAGTTCCAGTTAAACAGTTCCTTCATCCAGGGCGAACATCCAGCCATCTCTCATCTGACCTCTGTTAGGAGTGTGGGTGTGGCAGGGTACTTCTGCATGGCATGGCATGACAGGCCACAAGGCAACCTGGCATTTGAAACAGTATCTAGAGAAAGTAGCAAACATGAGAACAGGAAAACTGGCATGTAGTCAAAATTCTGGTGTGACAGTTTGGGGTGACTCTATCTGTGGCTTCTGACTTGGTGTGTTCCCATAAGAATGTCATTTCTGAACTTTATTCTGAACATTGATAAGTATGCTACTTATTAATACACATATTTACAGCACAGCTTGCTCAGGGATGGTCCCTAATAAAATACTTAAAAAGCACAACTTTCATTAATAACGAATAGCAGATGTTTATGTTCTAGCTCCAATCAAAATAATATTGTGCATCTAACAAGAAGCACAGGTTTTTTTTTTCTCATCATCTTAAAAGAATATTACTTTCTGGAGACACCATTTTTAATACATCTAATTACTAGATAATGATTTAGTCATCATCATTTGAACCTCATTAGATGTACAACACAGTATCAGAAGAAAACCAAGGGGTCCCCTAGACTCAGTTTATTTACTCACTGGTAAATCAGGTATATTAATAGCTAATAATAACAGCTGTTGTATATAAAGTATTTACTAATGGCCAACCACCTTGTAAATAAATGCTTTACATAATTGATCTTATTTAATCTGTGACATTGGAAAGTCCTTTGTTGGATGGATGAATAAGAGTCAGAATTGAGAGGCAGGAGAAGTGGAAAATCTTAATGTAGGCCTTGTTTTTCACAGAAAAGTAATATTGAATGTGGGAGAACTATTTTGTTTAGGTACAAAATAGTTCAGTGTGGAGTCAGGAATCCTCAACCTCACTTTGTCTTTCCTCTGACCCACCCATCTGCACTTGTCCTTGTCTATGCAAGACAGTAGAAATGGGCCAGTGCAGGAAAGGCTGGCTGGCTCACTGCAAATCCAGAGGCTGGGAACATTTACAGAACCTCAGAGGGGTAGTGGACACACTGATTTCTGGGGCAGGGTGGCCTGTCACTTTGGGGAAGAAACTGAATGTCAGAGAGACTTCTGAAAAGCTGATGGAAGTGGGTGGATGGTTCCATCAGGTTGAGGAGAGAAGAGACAGGTGGCAGTTATATGCTTGAAGGAAGACTGTCGGAAAGGAGCATGGAGGCTGAACTTCAAGTTCTGTGATGATAGTAACCCCCTGGGAGCTGTTACTGTGAGCAGCAGCAAGGAAGGCAGGCAGCAAGACTGATCTAGGCTGGACAACTGACAAGTGGCATTAAGTGGAGTAACAGGGAGCCAGGGTGTCTGGTGTGCAGACAGGAACAAATCCCAGATGGCAGGTGGAGGGGACCAGCCTAGACAGGGAAGCAGAGGAAGAGCTGAGGGGCTGAAGGTGAAGGTGAAGTGGAATGAGGTTCAGTGGGAGCCAGGATATGGCCTAATGTGTGTAGGGGTGAGGGGCTGAGAAAAATAAAAGAACATATGAACATACGTATGAGGCACAGAGTACTCAGCATGCAGTGTCCAAAACGTGATAGGATGGCACTGAGATCAATAATTAAGGAAGGATGGAAATGGAGAGGCTATTTGCAGAGGTGAGAACTTTTGCATCATCCTCAACAATAGTTATCAAGCCTTCCTCCTTGATAGACTGCAAGGTCAGCAGCCCTAACAGCAGCCCTCAGAGGGAAACATTGCTCTGCTCAGCTTCAAGGGACAGAGAAACTGGATTTCCAAATTCAAATCAACTATTCTGGCTGCTTTTCCAAATCCTCGAATCAGGAATCAGTCCGAGATCTACAACTGTCTTAAAAAAAAAAAATCTGTCTTCTTGGAGACTTCAACTAGCCCTCAGTACTCGCCAGGCCACCACCGAGGCCGGATGTGTGTGGGTGCACGTGCGTGTCTCCGGGTCGGAGACGTGCAATTCCACAGAGAGGGTGACCTTAGATGCATTGCTCTGCCCGCCACCCTGTCGCCCGCTGAGAGGATCTGACCCGCCAACGCCTGAGAAAAATAACACAAATAAACTTAGAGGATCTGACTGCCAATGCCTGAGAAAAATAACACAAAAAAACTTAACGAATATCCCCAAAGGCTCTCCCACCGCCGCCACCCCATGTCAGCCGAGAAAACAAGGGCTCCATTTCCCCGTAAATTGGATGCACAAGCCAATTCATTCCGTCCAGAGGCTGGGAAGCCCCAGTGGAAGCGAGACCCGCTGCAATTGAGTAGGACGTGGCCTCAGAAACCGAAAAGAACATTCGCCAACACCACGTCCTGCCAAGCCAAGCTCCCGACCCGGGGCTGTTGGCCACTGCCAGCCAGGTGCACCGACCGCAGCCGGGCCTGAGCGCGCACGCCTCTCGCCGCCGGGCACCAGCGGTCCCGCAGTCAGGTTTCACCGCGGCGCAGGGCGGTGGTTTCCGAGGCCGACCGGCGCCCGGACTCGATTACAGGTTCACACGGGGGGCCAGCGGCCCAGCCCCAGCTGGCGCGCCCTTGCGCGGCCCCCTGGCCCCGCGGCCCCGCCCGCCCATTCTTCTCCATTCATGAGGAAGCCCAGCGCCGCCGCCAGCGCGGCCGCCGCCGCCAGCCGCCCGATTGGCTGGCGGCCGAGGCGCCGGCACTTTCCCACGGCCCGCGGCGCGTGCGGCTCACCGGCGGCGCTGCGGGCGCGGCCTTGGCGAGCCGTCAGGCCAATGGGGGCGAGGGGAGCAGGGCCGTGGCAGCCGGCGGGCTGGCGTTCCGCCCCGGCCTCCCCCGGGTGCTTCCCCCTCCCCTCCCTCGCGGCGGCCAGCGAGGCCCCCGCTGAGCCGACGCACAGCCGCCGGGCCCGAGCTGGCGCAGGGGGCGGGCTTGGGGTTAGCTCTGGCCTGGGCCTCGCCTGTGCCCTCCCCTGAGCAGCTGCCAATCAGCGGAGCGAGGAATCGGATTGGTGGAGTGGAAGCTGTTGCCTAGGAGCCCCCTTCCCTTCCCCCCGCCCCCTGCACTCTCCTTCCATCCCCAGGGCCCTGGGAAGGGGCACAGCGTGGGAAAGGGATGGTTGAGTTTTAACCCGAGGCAGAGCGTGAGCTGGATCAGTGTGTGCGGAACGCAAGCAGCCGAGCGCGAGGAGTCGCGGCTGCTGTTAACTCCTTCCTGCCTGCCGCGCCGGCCCTTCCCGGAGCCCCAGCTCAGCCAGCATGAAGCGAGCCCATCCCGAATACAGCTCCTCTGACAGCGAGCTGGACGAGACCATCGAGGTGGAAAAGGAGAGTGCGGATGAGAGTGGGTGAGTTGGCGGGTGCAGAGCGGAGCCGGAGCGGGAGGTGAGAGAGGGCTGGACGCGGTGACAGCGGACGAGGGCTGGGTGGGCCAGTGCCATGAACCGACCTCTGCGTTTCCCGGGCGAACCCCGGCTCTTTCAGGCCCAAGTTGCCAAAACAGTCCGAGTGCAGGGAGCGTGGGTGCGATCCATCAAATCACCTACCCTCACCTAACGGTGATTCCTGTTCTGTTTTTCCCAATTCTTCAGAAACTTGAGTTCGGCCCTAGGTTCCATGTCCCCAACTACGTCTTCACAGATCTTGGCCAGGAAAAGACGGAGAGGCGTGAGTCTTTTTACAGTGCTCTTAAAAAAATTTAACAGAAAGAACTACCTTTCTTCACTTTGGGATTTGCAGCCGTAATGGAAATGCCCTCCTTTGTTTTGCCTGCTTTTTTCAGATCATTGAGAAACGCCGACGAGACCGGATCAATAACAGTTTGTCTGAGCTGAGGAGGCTGGTACCCAGTGCTTTTGAGAAGCAGGTAATGGAGAGAGTAGGTAGAGCTCCCAGCGTTGCCATCCCCACCTTTTGACTCCTTCCCCTTCATTCATCTGAACCCCGTCCGTGTATTGGAAAATAACTGTGTTGCTTGTGCCAGGAGAAGAATTCATATAGATTCCAACACATTTTGCGAAGACAACTCATTTTGCTTTAGACCATACTTTTAGGAAGTACGAAGCACAAATATGCATATATATCTTAAATGGTTCCCCAAGGGCACGTGGTGCCAAATCAATCTTTTGCGGTTTTCTCCTCCAGGGATCTGCTAAGCTAGAAAAAGCTGAAATCCTACAGATGACTGTGGATCACCTGAAAATGCTGCACACTGCAGGAGGGAAAGGTATATGTCACTAGTACCCTACCTGGACCCTGAGTGCTTGGGCAGAGTGAGCCACTACGCAGTTGCTGCCTTATTTTCACTGTGTGCTTTGAGGGGTGGAAAGGGACCCATGCCTGCGTTGTTGCCTGTGTGTGCACTTGGAAATGCACAGAGGTTTCTCTCCTGTGAATTCATCACCCCAACCCGCTGCACATTCAAATAATGCCCCTTCTTTGGTAAAATACCTGTTGTGTGTGAGGTGCCCTAAAATTGTGACAGCACTGATTAAGATCAGGTAGCTCTCATCACATTTGTGTATTGCCATTTTGAGAAGAAAGTTTTTTTTAAATTATATATATATATATATATATATATATATATATATATATATATATATATATATATATGGTCTTAATTTCATATACAGTTTTTTTTTAAATAAGCTTCCACATAACTTTGGAGGAGAGAAACCTGTTGTGGTTAAGTAGAGAAAACTTAGCCAAAGGTGGGGTACCAGGGTCTATATGTCTGCTCCAGCTGGGAAATGCTTTTCTCAGGACCAAGTGCCTAAAAGCTCTATGATGATAACTTACATCTGTGTGTCTAATGAATTTCACTGCTCTGTGGCTCTCTTGCCCTTGATGTATTTTTTGTTGTTGTTGAGGGAAAACATTAAAGGAATGAACATAGTTTCATCTGCTGGTAGGGTACAATTCTAATTTCTGCTCAGAGGTTTCTAATTTGGGCTTTGAACTTGCATTAGTGAACCCATACGTCTTACGTTGAATGCAAAGATTTTGGTTGACTCCAAAATATTTGGATTTTCAGAAAAGCCCGTGAATGCCGTCTTTTCAGGATGTAGGTCTTTGTCAGGAAGGGCTTCCTCTGGGATTGAAGAAAGGCGGGCAGTGAACAGAACCTAGAGCTTTTTTTCTTTTTTGTTCCCCAGGCTACTTTGACGCCCATGCCCTGGCCATGGACTATCGGAGTTTGGGGTTCCGGGAATGCTTGGCAGAAGTCGCCCGCTACCTGAGCATCATCGAAGGACTTGATGCTTCTGACCCGCTTCGAGTCCGACTGGTCTCGCATCTTAACAATTACGCCTCCCAGCGGGAAGCTGCTAGCGGAGCGCACTCGAGCCTTGGACACCTTCCCTGGGGGAGCACCTTCGGACATGCCCCACACGTGGCGCACCCGCTGCTGCTGCCCCAGAATGGCCACGGGAACACTGGTTCCGCGGCCTCGCCCACGGACCCGCACCACCAGGGCCGCTTGGCCGGGGCACATCCAGAGGGGCCTGCCCTGCGAGCGCCCCCTAGCAGCGGCCTTGCACCAGTGCTCCCTGTGGTCACCACCTCCTCCAAACTGTCGCCGCCCCTGCTCTCCTCCGTGGCCTCCCTGTCCACCTTCCCCTTCACTTTCGGCTCCTTCCACTTACTCTCTCCCAATGCACTGAGCCCTTCAGCACCCACGCAGACAGCAAACCTTGGCAAGCCATATAGACCATGGGGGACGGAGATCGGAGCTTTTTAAAGAACTGATGCTGTAGAATGAGGGAGGGGACAGCTTAAAATCCCAGCTGAGCTGGGCTGTTGCCAACATCACCTAAAGTCGTCAGTAACATAAAGAGGAAAAAGGTACAATTCCAGATAAATTTTGTTGAAAAACTAAAGGTTTGTTGGTTTACCTTTTCTTTTTAAATGTTTTTTTTTAAATTATGACATGTATTAGCAGTTTTAAAAAACTAGTTGTTACATTTTGTTCCAAACAGTAAACGAAAATAGTATAAACCAACACTTGGTGATCCTATCCATCTAAAAATGGATATGGATATTTTTATTCCATTTTTGCCTCAAAGTTTGGGGAATTCTAATATTTAGTATTTTGGGGCTGTTTATCTCTGTATAGTTACATTCTCTTCTTAAAATTAATTTTTCATACCACTATGCTCAATGTTAACACAACACTATTAATAGTTTGACAATTAAGGTGTTGTATAAATAATATTCTTGGGGGGGATATTGAATTTTATATTTCTGAACAAAGCGTTGACAAATCAGATGACAAATCAGCTTTATCCAAGACAGTAGACTAGTTCATTCTCTGTCTCCTACAGCAGGAAAGGTGAATGTACAAACAAACCGTCATCTGCCAGGACTGGACTTGTGGCTGAGTTAGGAGGGAGCCACCTGTACTTTAGGCCCTCTTTTGCAGTTGGCTGGGAGGAGACTGAAGATAATTGCATAGACTATGCCTGCATTAACAGCCTCCAACAATGCAACGCATTTTTAATCTCACAGACCTCAAACTCACAAATGTTAACACAGATAAGTGAACAGGGTGGTCAAGTGACCAGTCAGTCAGATAGTCCAGCAGGACTTGTTAAAAGCATAACCTAATTCTTCCTGGAATGGCCATATTTTTTGTCAATGGAAATTTTTATGTTTGTGCTTTTCCTTTTGGTGCATGAAGATGTGGCTGTTGAGATATTTAAAAGGGCTTTGCTGCCTTCTTTTTGGTTTATTTTATTTCATTCAGGCTATGAAAACATCATTTTCCAGGTTTATTCATTTAGCAGGTGTAGCTTAAGCACCCTCCTACTGAGCTGGGTTTGACCTCTGTTGTACTGATGTGTTGTGACTAAATAAAAAAGAAGAAATAAACTCTTCTGCTGTATGTCTTGCATAATCTTCCCTCCCCATTTCTGGTGGCTAAGAAAAGAGAAATTTTCTCTTGTTTTCATTTTGTACAATCAATTTAACAATTTCATTATTTGTGAAATTCTAAACTGTGTGAATTTGTGCTATTCAGTAAGATGACTTCATGATAGGTCACAGCTTTGGCCTGAGTCCCACTAGGGGACATTGCCCTTTAGCTGTTATGTCCAGTGATCTGGCTCTAAACTGGCCATCTGTGGAGTAGATGCCTCAATATCAGGATGGATTTGCAGGGTGGGAAGGAGCTCTGATGAGATCTTGTAAAACTGTGTTGATTATCCAGAAATACTGACTAGGAGCATCTCCTGTGTGCTCAGCTCCATGTTGAGAGAGCAGAAAATTTATTTCATTCTTTTTTCTTAAAATGTCAAGATAAGAAAAGCCAAACACTGCTCTCTCTTAAACCTGGGAATCAGTGGCATGATGAGCAATGGCAGGCTGTAATTCAGCACCTGCACAGCTCCAGGAATCTCTCCTTGTCTCATTTCCAAGGAGTTTGTTTAACCCTTTAGCTGCATTTGACTCCTGAGCTGTATAATGAGGAAGCTGACACATGTTTCAGCTTAGAAGAAAATGCTGCCCTGGCAGAGGAGGGGCTTTCCATTGCCTTAAAAGTCTTCCTCCTGCAATTAAGGAGTGTTCCCTCCTAGCTCAGAAGGAGTTTGCCTAGATCCTGAGAGTGGTGGGGAAGTGAGGGAGAAAGTCCACTCTGTCAGATGACAAAGTACAGGCTTGCTTTTTGTTGTCCAGCTACTCAGCAACTCCTCCCCTCTCTTTTTAAAAAAGAAAAGGAAAAGGAAAAGAAAAGAAAAGAAAAGAAGAGAAAAGAAAAAAGACAGGAAGGCAGAGAATATTGGACTTTGACCTTGAGCAGTACTTGTGGGTCCCCATGAAGGGATGGGAGCCTGCAGTATTTTTGTGATTGTGGGTTTCAAAGGCTTGCTCCCACTTGACCTTCCTCTGTGTGGTCCCTCTTCTGATGCACAGCTCTGCTCTGAGGGCTGTCTGAGCCACACAGACATTCTCACTGTCTGTCAGAGTGTGTGATGCAAAGTGTTATGGTAATTTCTGCCAAGTGCCAGTTTAATTTTAGCAACTGCAATTTCAAATGACATTACAGCTTTACTGAACAGCATTGTGCTCAGACTATCTTAGATGATCTTACAGGTATCCAAGTTTAGATGGCTGCTAAGGTGGTGGTAAGAAAGGAGTAAAGCATTTGACCTGTTTTCACTTGTCACGTCACTGATCCCTATATCACCATCTAGTGAGTACTTCTTTTTTTTGAAAGGTGTGTGAAGGGTCATTATCAAGATTACATAGTTTTCCAAAGAAATATTTGGTTTCTTTTTTTCCCTTTTTCCAATCACAGTTTACATTCAATATTATTTTGTATTGGTTTCAGGTATACAGCATAGCGGAAAAACAATCATACTTTACAAAGTGTTCCCCCCATATTTCCAGTACCCACCAGACACTGTACATAGTTATTACAATATTATAGACTATATCTTGGTTTCTTTTTAAATACTTTCAAGGTGACAGGCTTATGGAAATTGTGCAGGTGGAGGTGGAGCTTCTGAGGAAATGGGATGGAATTATAAGCCAGTGGTATCTAGAAAAAGGAATGTAGGGAAACTTTCATTTCTTTCCTGAATTGATACAGTGAGAAAAAATGAATGTCAGGGCCATTAATGCCATTATACTTTTATGTTCTACATATGTTTATACTACTTCTACCTGTGTAAACAAACATGTTTTAGATGGCTTGTAAATTTACCTTATGAGGAAAACAATATCCCTGGTCATGAAGAATCTTTTTTTAAAGCATTTTTGATTGATTATGCTACTACAGTTTTCCCAATTTTTTTCTCCCCTTTATCCCCGCTCTGCCCTGCATATCCCCACCCTCCAGCATCGCCCTCCCCCGCCTTAGTTCAGTCCATGGGTAGTACATATAAGTTCTTTGGCTTCTCTGTTTTCCATTCTATTCTTCACCTCCCCTGTCTATTTTATGCCTACCAATTATGCTTCTTATTCCCTGTATCTTCTCTTGCTCCATTTTTCCTCTCCCCTTCCTCACTGAAAATCCTCCATGTAATCTCCATTTTCCTAGTTCTGTTCCTGTTGTAGTTGTTTTCTTAGTTTTTGTCTTTGCTTTTTAGGTTCAGTTGTTGATAGTTATGAGTTTCTTGTTGTTTTACTTTTCATAGTTATTGATCTTCTTCTATTTCTTAGATAAGTCTCTTTAACATTTCATATAATGAAGGCTTGGTAATGATGAACTCCTTTAACTTGATCTTATCTGGGAAACACTTTATCTGCCCTTCCATTCTAAATGATAGCTTTGTTGGATAGAGTAATTTTGGATGTAGGTCCTTGCCTTTCAGGACTTGGAATACTTCTGGCCAGCCCCTTCTTGCCTGCAAGGTTTCTTTTGAGAAATCAGCTGATAGTCTTATAGGCACTCCTTTGTAGGCAACTCTCTCCTTTTCTCTTGATGCTTTTAATATTCTCTCCTTGTCTTTAATCTTGGGTAATGTAATTATTATGTCCTTTGGTGTGTGTTTCCTTGGGTCCAATTTATTTGGGACTCTCTGGTTTGCTGGACTTCCTGGAAGTCTATTTCCTTTGCCAGAATGGGGAAGTTCTCCTTCATTATGTTTTCAAATAAGTTTTCAATTTCTTGCTCTTCCTCTTCTTGAACCCCTATGATTTGGATGTTGGAATGTTTAAAGCTGTCCTGGAGGTTCTTAAGCCTCTCCTTATTTTTCTGAATTTTTGTTTCTTTATTTTGTTCTGTTTGGATATGCATTTTTTTTGTCCCAAATCATTGATTTGAGTCCTACTTTCCTTCCCTTCACTGTTGATTCCCTGTATATTTTGCTTATTTCACTTTGGGTATCCTTCATTTGTTCCTTCATTTTCTTGACCAAGCTCAATCAGTTCTGTGAGCATCCTGATTACCAGTGTTTTGAGCTCTGCATCAGATAGTTTTGCTATCTCCTCACTGTTTAGCTCTTTTTCTGGAGTTTTGATCTGTTCTTTCATTTGAGCCATTATTTCTTTGTCTTGGTACACCTGTTATGTTGTAAGGGGGTGGGGCCTTAGGTATTCACCATGGCAGAGCAACCCTCTTTGCTGCATTGTGTTGCTGTCTGTGGGGGAGGGGTCAGAGAGGGAACAACTCCACTCGCTTGCTTTCTCTGCTGTAGCCCCACCATCCAATGATCTCTCCTGTGAGACTGGGAGTTTCTCCCACTGTTGCAACCCCTGCAGTATTTTACAGCTAGCTTTGAGTCTTCAGCCAGCCCTGTCTCACAGGCGCAGTCCACCACCTTGCTGCACTTCCTCTCTGCTCAGCTGCTGGTCTCCCATCTCCACCCCTTCTACCAGTTTGGTCCATGCAGTTTGATTTTCTGGCACTTCTGATTGGTTATTGTTTTTGAATTGGTTGTTATCCTTCTTTTGGTTGTGTGAGGAAGTGAAGTGCTTCTACCTACACCTCCATCTTGGCTGGAACTCCTTGGTCATGAAGAATCCTGAAAGGCCTCAATAATTACCCATTTATTTTCATCATATGTGTTATCATGAATTACTGTAATGATGCGCAGAATTCTTTCTTTAAAAATCTCTAAGAGAAAAGGCCAAGAAATATCATTTCTAATTTATTCACTATAATTCAATTAGGATGTGATTTTGAATTTAGGCTTGCTTAGCCCTGCTTTTACTAACTAAAATCATGACATTTTAAATATAGATTACTTATATTTAAAAACCCTCAGGAAATGTTGTATATCCTTGTTATATTTTCCCCAGCCTCCTGGTCTAATACCAGTATCACAGCTTTGATGCCTTCATTAGTTTCCAGCGATGATTTATAATTAAAAGAACTTCAGAGCTGATATCATCTGAGACACTGCTTCAAATGTGGCCCAATTTATTTCACTGCCAGAGCTCCAGGAAATGGGGGTGTCTTGAAAAAAGGATCTGGATTCTGGTTCCTGCTCAGCTTTTACCTAGTTGAGTGACTTTGGGGAAGTCATTCAAAATTCTCCACACCCAATTTCTTCATCTGTGGGATGAAGTGGCTGGATTAGATGGGTGTCTGGGTTCACACTCACAGGGACAGGCACTCATGTGGAAGCCTGTGGGGAAAGGTGGGTGCTAATCCAGGAAATGCATCTTCTAGCACCTTCTGTCTGAAGGCCAATTTGTTCTACATAGGAATTTTGGTTCAGTGTTGTCAGATCTCTCAAGTTTTCAAGAGTGTCCCCAATTTTAGATTTTTATGTGAAACTGTTCAATTTGTATTGGTCGTTAACTAACTCACCAAAACCTGTCTATCAGCAAGACAGGGAGGGTCCTGGGAAGCAGCCATCTCTCAGTTCCTAGGGCTGTCATCCCAATGGCCCTCTGAAGGCTAGAATTTTCTAGTATTTTTGTCATGCTTAATGGATGAAAACTCGGTTACATAAAATAAACCAGTCAATAATTAGGCAGCTGTGAGAAGTTATTGTGCAGTGTACCCTGTAAAGATAAGGGCAGAGGTTTTTGTAATTACTTCTGAGTGGCCATATTTCTTTAAGGACACTGAAGCTAAAATCATTCTTTTTGTTCCAAGTCTGACTGCTTCACAGGAATCTCTTTTGAAGGTGTTTTCCATGGTGGTCCTGGTGTTCCCCTTATCAAGGAGAAGTTGGGATCTCAGCCTGATGTCTTTAAATGAAAAAGGGAGTGTGCAGCTGGCTGGTGACTCAGCACACTCAGTTCCTAAAAGGAACTTCAGGAAGTATGGAGTCCCTGCGAAGAGCAAGCTATTTGAACCTCAACTTGAAATATAATGAGGCCTTGATCTGGATGTTCTGCTCTGGGGTAGGGGCAGAGAGAGGGAGAAAGAAGGAATGAAACAACCCTG